GCCCAGCACAGTGCCTGGCCCTCAAAAAGCTGTGTTTTAATGAACTAATAAAGAACACTTTGTATCACTTCTGTGTAACAGAGGTGAACGTTTATCAGTTCAACTGGATCATTTTCTTTAAGTTCTAATTTTTGTGGTAACTCTGATTAATCAGCAATGTATTCTTCCAGACATACTCCCTTCTATTTTTTCTCATTGTTTTTTCTTCCAAAAATATGTAATTTGCCTAATAAAGTATTTTGGGGTAGACTTACCCATAGTCTCACAAAAATTGGGAGAGAGAATGTTTGAGAGATTAGTGTTGTTACGGATGAGTAAGGGAGAACTCAAAAGACCCAAAGTCTGACAAGGTGCGCTCATAGGAACTTAGTCAATATAGGTTGGTTACTGTATTTGTATCACAGGGTCATATCAGTCCCCCCACTGAAATACCTCCAGTGCATCTCATTGCAGTCAACATGAGGGTGGAACTCCAGAATTCATTATATGACTTCTTCATGGTCAGTCTCTTTCTATGCTTCTGATCTCTGAATTTCTATACTTTATGTCTTACCACTTGGAATTATTTATGAACTATCTTAATTGTAGGTTTTTATCAGTGACTACTGCTCTCATGCATATTGCCTATTTCCCCAACTAGATTATATAGTCCTCAACAGAAAGTACTCTTTGTTTTTCTTTTTCATATTTCTCATTGTTTTTTCAAAAGTGTGTGTGAGTAATGTTCATGATTGGTTGAATTTTGCATGGCACCATAGGTTTCCAACAACTAAAATGTAAAAGTAAGATGCAGGAAGGCTTACTCCTTTGTGTGAATCTAAGGACAATACAGTTAATACCTGAATATAAAATAACTTCTCTAAGTGGTTCTGCTTAGATTTTATTCTCTGTGATCTGGGCCCTTGGCTATATAATTTTTAACAGTGTGGCTTCATGGTTGCTTGTTAATGGGTTGCTCTGGGATTATTATTCAGGTGTTCACGGTTCTCAACTGGAGGAGAGATGTAAAGAGAAAGGATGTTTTGGAAAGAATGCCAGACTAACAATTAGGAGACTCAAATTTAATTTCTAAACTTGTACAAACTGCTGTTCTTGGTGACCTTTATGATGCCATAACCCTACTATCCTGCTTGTTGGGGAAAGGAGATTTACATAAAACTGCTTCAGTATGCCACCCCTGTGATGTGTGGGAAGCACTTATTGCTGGAACATGAGATTTGGGGAAGTTCCTTATGCAGAAACTAATATGGTAGCTGTAAGGCCATGGATAAGGTATTGACCCTATCTGTGCATCAATTTCCTGAATAGTAAGTTGATCTAATTTGGGCTACATGATTTCCAAAGTCCCCTCTGGTTCTAAAATTCCTGTGTTTCAAGACTCATAAGGAATGAGAAAAGTGCTTGGAAGGGGTGGATGCTATTTAAAAACTTTAGGGTATATTCTCTATTCTTTATCATTGGGGAGCATGACTCCTTTTGTATACATCCCTGAATTAGCTCCCAGAGTGAAACTCCATTCAGTCTGTGGAAATGTAATCAAAAGGTCACTCATCTAAGTGGTAAATAGTTGTGTGGATTCTAGCCTCCATGAAAAATTAAGTGTTGGAAAGGTCAACATTTCTCCAAATTGGGTCAGGTATCCCTAGTGGCACTCAAGAAGATTAAGATGGTACACTGATATTTTATTAAATAGCCTTGAATCAATGGTAAAAAAGTTAAGTTTCTTATATTCTTTGTATATCAGTGAGAATGTCTCAATTTCATATTACCATTTATCACTTAAATACTCCTCTATACTTGCTTCTCTTTCTAATACAAAGCAATGAGTTAGAAACTCAGAGTCTAAATAGACATGGTAGCTAGCATTTAATAGTATTATCCGTATTTTTGTTAAATCTATTTTTGTGATTACTTTCTATTTTTGGCATGTGATACTGATTTTCCCTTTGTAGTAATGATAAACTTTTTGATTTTCATATATGTTGTTTGTTTTTAAAATATATATTTTTTAAATTTATGAAATAAGTTATTAAAAAGTGAGTCAATTTAAAGAAAGTGTCACTCAAAATATTGCATACATGGTGACTGGCCCCAGATCATTAAAGTAGCATAAGAAGTTGGGAGGAAATGGAGTGTATTAGTAAGAGTCCATCAGGAAACTGATGATGTGGTCACTGGGTTTAACTAAAGGGATTTTGGTGAAGGGATAGTATACAAGGTGTGGGCAGGACTAGGGAAACAAACCAGGACTGGGAAGCATCTAAGTGTTCACCGTAGTCAGAAGCTTAGCACTTCTGGTCTCAAAAGACACGAGAGAAGATGCTGATGCAGGTGCAGGAGGGCACCATAGAACAGGAGCTCTAATTCTGCGATACAGTCACTGCTGGCAACTGAAGACCATCAAGAAGGAAGGGAATAAGGGATGAATACCTGACCTTTCTCCCCTCCTACCTCTGATCCTCTGCTATGCTGTCAGTGCCTCTGGTGGCTGAATTCAGAAATCAGAGGCCAAGGGAGCTCCAGTGTTGGAGTCTATAGTAGAGTTCAGGATCCCTGGGTCACAAAGCAGGGCCTAGAAGGAAGAGAGTGGATTGGGGCCAGCAAGAAGGGGCAAGCAGAGAATGCCAGGAGACATTAGGGTTCTCCACCAAGACTAAGGTTGTGATTCTAGTTATGCCAGTCTGCTAATTACATGACATTAGTTCACTACTTACATGTAGGCAGGGGTGATATTCAAAGACTACTGATAAGGCCTGGGATCTGACCAATCCAAATGGATACCATAAACCTTCTGCTCACCAGGCTTTCATCCCATGGTTCCTGGATTGAGAGAAGCTTTCATCCCATAGCTTCTGGATTGAGAGAAGCAGGAGGAGTCTCGGTAGAGAAGGGCCAGAGCAGGTACAGTCAGGCAGAAGGGAACTTGGTTAGTTCAGGGCTAGCATCTATGTAACCTGCAAAAAGGGGCACAGATGATAAACCCTTTTTTGTTCCTGAGCCTTTGTGCCTTTATGCTTGCTAAGACTTGATCTTATTTGTTTTAAAAACGTTTTAAAATATTGTTTTAAAAACTTGGACCTTACCTTGCATTTTCATTTGTCAACTTACTCTCCTTAATTGTGTTTATATTTTCAAAAAGGGACTGTCTTTTTCTGTAAATATGATACTGCTCCTACCACAGTTTCTTAAACATAGTAGATGCTCAATAAATATATTATGGAGGGAATTTCATTGGTATTCGTTCTGATAGTTCTGAAAGGAAAAGATAAATCAATTTTCAAAAATCTTTCAATTTCAGACATGAGATTCAGTGGTGTGGTTTATGTATTTTATTCTTTAATATCCACCAGAATCCATGCACTCTGTTAAGTAAACTGAGTTCAACAGAGCTGACCCTGGGTTTCTACATTCCTTCTCCTTACCTTTATTCCAGTTTTTAAATTTATTTTATGAAACTACACATAGAAATGAAAATAAAATGTATGGAATTTTAACTTCAAAACTCATATTAACGTCACATTGTGTCATTTATCATAATCATGATTTCCTGAAAATTCTGTATTTTCTAAGTTACTTTGAAAGTTTTTAGAAGGTCAATGTATTTTTTTTTTTTTTGTATAATCATACGAAGATTTAAGTAGTATTACAGAGTTGGGCACCTATATGGAAAATAGTTATTGGATACTTCAGAGAAAGCCAGATAGGCAAGCAATTTAATTTTAAAATCTTGGCATTATTCACTGGGTGCGGTGGCTCACACCTGTAATCCCAGCACTTTGAGAGGCTGAGGCAGGTGGATCACTTGAGGTCAGGAGTTCAAGATCAGCTTGGCCAACATGGTGAAACCCTGTCTCTACTAAAAATACAAAAATTAGCCAGGTGTGGTGGCGGGCACCTGTAATCCCAGCTACTTGGGAGGCTGAGGCAGGAGAATCGCTTGAACCTGGGAGGTGGAGGTTGCAGTGAGCTGAAATTGCACCACTGCACGCAAGCCTGGTGACAGCGAGTGCGACTCCTTCTCAAAAACAAGCAAACAAAAAAACAAAAACAAAACAAAAAAACTTGACATTATTAAATTCAAGGCATAGTTGCTGTGATTTTAATATTTTTTTTTCTGTCTTCATATTTTCTTGTTATTTTGTTTTTATTACCATTTATGGCAACATATTAGTTAATATTTTAAAGTATACATTGTGTTAAAGTGGATTGCTTTTCCTTAAAAGCAGCACATACTTTGCTACATTATCACTTAAAATGAAGGTACTCATTAATTAGACTTTTTACTTTTAAAATATGGTTGTATCCTTAAGGTTTCTCCTTTGCCATAACTTTATTTTTGCTCAGAATGTTACTGCCTTTTTAATGTGAAAATGATGGCATACAATTATAGAAACTAGCGTATTTATTCAAGCAAAAGTATAGCTTTATAGTTTCCTTTATTGTGAGGAGTTGAGTCACTGGCTAATCATTTAATTATGGCCTTTTATACTATATTTTTAAAACAAATAAGACCCAGTCTTAGCAAGCATAAAGCTGGGGAAAAATAAAAATGTTCTTCAAAGTAATCTAAATTCAACCAAAACCATAGATATGTCTTATTCTACGATCTTTATTTATCTGCATCTTATCTTTAGAAAAGTTACAATTTGGAAATAAATGAGTTAAGTTTTTCTATATCAAAAGTATTAGAAAAAAATATAAACTGCAATTTCATTTTCTTCTTATATATATTAAGAACTCCAAAGGAAATTTTACATGGAAATGTTTTTTATTGCTTATAGTACTTAACTTCATTCATTTATTGATAACAAATACTGATTGTCTTTATTGTGAAGCCACAATAGATATCAAAATAATCATGAACGTTTATTAGTATAATGACAATATGTATAGCAAACCTGTAATTAGATATATGATAAGGACAGCCCTTAATGAGGATGTGAATGTGAAAGAGAGGGCTTTGCTCATTTTCTTTCTCTCCTTGTGTTGGTGTTTTCCAGGTGATGATGAAGGAATCCAGGAGACAGCAGAATCAGATGGGGACACACAGTCAGAGAAACCGGGGCAATCTGGAGTTGAGACAGATGACTGGGATGGCCCAGGTAGGAGAGAATATTTAAAATTCAACCATCTTTACTACTGTTAGAAATACACATTTTTCTTTTTTTCCTGAACATTAGTTAGCTTGCAAAAAATGTTTTTGTGTGTTCTGGTTATTATAAGAGCATTTAAATATAGATTATTATTTTAAAAATACTTTTTAGATTTTTGTTACATAAACTATAAAAACCAAAGTGCTACCACGGCTTGAAGTTTCCTTCATTTTTTTCTTTCATCTTCATGTAAAATTAGTCAATTCTACTTGCTTCTTTGAACAAAGGATTTTTAAGCTACATCCAAATTTAAATTGGGCACAATGTTAAAGCTTAGAAACAAGAAACAATAGTACTTCAAAGAGTGATCATTTTCAGTTTAGTCATGTTTTAAGTCATAGGTTGAACCTCAATACATATTTAGAAGTTTAGAAAATATCAAAAGATGCCCCCTTTTGATCTAAGGTTTGGGTAACATTTTCATTTTGATGAGTAAAATTACACTTGATTTTAAAGAGCTTAACATTTAATCATTTAAAGAAAAACAAAAACTGATCAAAATACTCCACCACACAAATATAAATGTATGTAAATATGTAACAGTGAAAAGAACTCTGCAGAAAAAAGTCTTTACATTTGGTGCCAAGTAATTTACAATTGATAGTATATTTTTAAATGGAGACTATTATATCATAAGGCTTAAGAATATAAGTGAGTTCTGAAATAGTTTTAGCCATAATTTCCAAAGCAGTAACATTTTTCATTAAGAACGATCCCTATATTTCAATCACATTTTCACCCTTGCATGACTCTGCAAATTGCTCTCTGCTGTACGTGAAGAAGAGAGGAACTCCAGCAGTAATTTTCTGAAACCAGCAGCTGGAAAATATAATGCAAACAAAAATGAAGATAGAGTATATCTGATTATTATGATGTCATTTCTAATGTTATTCATCATACACACAAATGTTTGTATTCTGTATTCTATAACATAATGCTATACAAGATTTTAGATCAAAAATGTATTATTTTTAAAGTACCTTATTACCACATTTTAAGAGTTTAAAGGAAAATGTAGCCTTCTGGCATTTTCACCTTGTGGCATGATGCTTCTTCTCAATGTGGGGAAGGATTCCCTTGATTTAATAATAAAAAAAAAAAAATAGGAAAAAGATTTTTGGAACATCTTGGTTTTGTCATGGAGGTTACCTTTAACTTAAAAACAGTGAGTGAACTTTTATATCTTATAGTTATTATTATTATTATTATTTTTGAGACAGGGTCTCACTCTGTTGCCCAGTCTGGGGTGCAGTGGCATGATCTCGGCTCACTGCAGCTTCTACCTCCCAGCCTCAAGTGATCCTCCCACCTCAGCCCTGCAAGTAGCTGGGACTTCAGGCATGGACCACCACAACTAGCTAATTTTTATATTTTTTGTAGATACTGGGTCTCACCATGTGGCCCAAGCTAGTCTCAAACTCCTGAGCTCAAATGATCTGCCCGATTCAGCCTCCCAAGGGAATTACAGGCATGAGCCACTGCGCCCAGCCTCTTATAGTTCTTTTTTTTTTTGAGACAGAATCTCACTCTGTCGCCCAGGCTGGAGTGCAGTGGCATGATCTTGGCTCACCGCAACCTCCACCTCCCAGGTTCAAGCGATTCTCCTGCCTCAGCCTCCCAAGTAGCTGGGACTACAGGCGTGTGCCACCATGCCCAGATAATTTTTTGTATTTTTAGTAGAGATGGGGTTTCACCATGTTAGCCAGGATGGTCTCGATCTCCTGGCCTCATGATCCGCCTGCCTTGGCCTACCACAGTGCTGGGACTACAGGCATGAGCCACTGTGCCCAGCCATAGTTCTTTATTCATAGAATTAAGTATGTATATGTTAATTTAGAAGCGTTTTTACATTTAAAATTAAATTAGATGGTTTTTTAGATATGCCTGCTTGTAGAAAGGTACATTCTGCCTTACTCTTACAATGGGGAAAATTTGTGGGGAGTGGGTTTTTATCTTTGTTTATGTCTGGGGCCCATAGCTTTTCCAGTGACTTGGGAGTAAGCAAGCAAATTTTAGGGGATAAAATGCCAAACACAGGCTCTACACCCAGTGCTACCTTTTTCAGGAAGCTTTTCAACAAATAAAGTTGTATTTGTGGCTAAAAAAAGAGAGGGAGAGAAAGTGAACAAGGTGAAGAATTATGCTGTCATTCAAAGTGAAGAATTTTCCATTTTCATTTAAATTTATCAATGTATTTAATTTAATGTTGTTTTTATTTATTTGATATTGGTAAAAAAAAACTTTATACTCTTTTCTGGGCACATGTGGTTATGACAAAACTTTGAAGAGAAAATACATGACTCTAAGCAGGTATGCCTACAAAAAAATTGCTTCTTTGTCTATTATAAAATGAGTAATAATTTTTTCTCCATACATATTTAGCCAAAAAAAGGGTTTTACTATTATAAAACTCCCTGAACTGAAGTTGATTCGTAACAAAATAATATCCATTTATTTACTTTTCACGGTAGAATATTCATTAATTTCCTTTGATCAGGAGATTTGGGAGAAAGTACGGGGTATTTTGTGTTTTGGCTATTGCATAAACAGCAATTACTTCGATGTTACTACCGCAAGTTTTGTTAGTAATGAAACAGTATTAGCATTTTCCAACTGTAGTCAGGAGAGAAAATTGTGCAACTTTTAGTAATAGTTTCCAAACATATTAGAAAACGGGCTTTACTGATGGTTACCCCATTTACCCTGATATGATTATTACACATTGTTTTCCTGTCTTAAAATATCTCATATGCCCCATGAATATATACACCTACTGTATGCCCACAAAAATTAAAAATTAAAAAAAAAATAGGCTTTAGATTCCATGGGTTTAGGTTCAATTCTGGATTTAATACTCACTAGCTGGGAGATGTTTGGCAAAAAAATTGGAATTTTGGCAAAAAAAAAAAAAAATTGTTCTCTCTTTGCCTATATCCTCATTTGTAAAAAATAGAAAATAATTTTAACAACTCTTAGAGAATTAAATCAGATCATATACATAAAATGCCAGTGATGTACTATTGTGGCTTTGCAGTTGTTGAGTCTTGAAGCAGAACTTTTTAAAATTCTTCTTAGAGTTTCTAATGCCCAGTAGTACATCTGATGAAATAAAGAGAAAAGTTTTGTTATACTGAGTTGAGCCACAAATTATTGATTAAGATATGAGGTACTGAAACAGATTTGGATTTCAAGGTCTTCTAATTTTAAGGTTCTCCACCTCAGTTCTGACATCAACCTAAAAGAGATGGTTTTCTCTAAAAAGAGAACAGAATCAAAGGACGAGGAAATTATCTAAAGAATTTGAGGCATAGAGCTGACGTCATTTAAGATGGATGGATCAGGATTTATCTTTTTTTTTTAAGAGTTGAATTGATGATGACTCCACAACCTTTCTTGATGGCTGAATTAAATAATGAATCAACTCCCATCTGAAGTGTTCCATTTTATCAAATGCAGATCCCACAGTGGAAAGTACTTTTTTCTTATGTTATTCAACTAAAAGATATGTTTTGTTATCACTATTGCTCACACCTTTGTTAGCTGTTATGATTAAGTGTAACCTAAACAATCTTTAAGAAAATTATCTTACAGGTAAACGTTTCTGTGGTGGAATTCTTTCATGTTTAAATGTTTCTGATTCCTATTTAAGCATACTTCAAGTTCCTATGAATCTTTCATAGTTTGAATGAAAAGCTAGACACACACTAAGCTAGGAAGGTTCAGGCCAATATAAAAGTCATTATCTCATTATTTCAGTATCTCTGATATCTGTTTTTTAATGTAATTGTTCTTTCTTGCTTATAAAATTTTACTTGGACACTTCTTTGCTTGGAATCTAATTCACAGAACATTTACTTTTCACTATTCTGGTTTTTCATCTGTATTTGCCCATATTTTATTTATAACATCTGTCTTCTTTTAAGTAAACATCTTTTCTTTTCTTTGTCCTCACAAATTTTATGTTTTATCACTATCACAAGTTCTTCATTTACCAATATTCTTATACGTCTAAGTATTCAATAAATCTTTATCTTGCATGTATTGTAATAATTGTTTAGAGTACTTGGGAGAAGTTCAAGGTGTAACATGATGCTGTCCGTATTCTCATTTTTTGGATATCATTCCCCTCCTGTAGGCTTCTTTAATTATTCATGTACCATATTTGAGTCACTGATGCAATAATTAAGCATCTCATAGACTGGAGAGTAGAGTATGGTTTAAACTACAGAATGAAATGTACAGATTTTAGATTCTGGCATGTTAAGTTCAGAAGTTCAGGCCAAGCTTCAGTTTCCTTATCTTTAAAATGGGAATAATAATAGCTTGAAATAACGTGATGAGGATGAAATTTGAAAGAGATGATATTTACAAAGTGTCCAGCACAGAAGTTGGGAGAGAATAGGACTTGCTAAATATGTGAGTGGTCTTCCCTTACCCTAGGACTGAACTTTGTTAAACAGTTTTCACTCCATCCTTTCAGACAGACCAATGGTTGGAATGTTGACCTTATTTTGAAAATAGTGTTTACATCCCTAGCGATCTTAAGAACCACATTCCATGACCGAAGTCTGTTATATGTACTTGTATTTAGGAGACTAGGGAAAGAAAACTTAGGTAAATCTTTTATAAATCTGTCATCTACCTTTATGAAACAAGCACCTTAAAAGTCACATCTTACTTACATCAACTTTCAGTGTGCTAATTCTCTGAATTACTTTATTAAAACATAGTTACTTCTTTTTGCACTTGGGAATAGTGAAAATCTGATTTGTCTGGTACAATATTGAATGAAATCTTGGTCTTACCATCAGGCTTACAGCAGCTATAATTGAAACTTCCAGGAGCTCTAATAAAGGAAAATATCATGCTACTTAAATATGCAAATAAGTACGTGTACCCCCCCCCCCCCATAACATGTCTTAATGCAGACATACACAGGTATAACATTT